TTCATGTTTCACTTTAGTGTGCCATTAATACTGTTTGCGTGTTACGCACTCTCGCACCTTCTCTTTCCTCTGCGAAGCACCCCCATGCAGCCTACACTCCCGCTCAGCGTGCCTTGATGTATGGTGCGTGCATTGTGCCATGTATGAGCGGCGCATGTGTGTTGGAGCCTTAACACCTAAAGAAACAAACGAATAATTGGCTGGGATGCAGGCGTTATCGTATTCCTGCCGCTGTTTATAACAACGCGACTCGGGGCATCGTCAGGAGCAGCAGACGGAATCCTGAAAAACCGCGCGAAAAAGAAAGAAGCTCAGCCTTCTGCTTCCGTTGTGAGTGGTTGGAAAAGAATAAATAAACAGGGGAGCTGTTTGATTTTAAACCTTTTTTTTTTATTCTTATAACTTAATTCACCTGACGCCTCTTGGCTTCCGGTTTCCGTTTTTGAGTTCCCCTCTCCTTCCCTCATCGTTTTTCGTCGTCTGCCGGAAGGCGATAACCGTGTTCCGGTTCAGCGCTGTCGTCTGCTGCAAACCGTCGGTTGTTGTCTGCTGCAGCCGCGTCGAGCGCCCCAGGGCGTCGGTCATGTCAGCGGTTGGTTGTTGCACTTCGCTTTCTCGCGCAATTTTCTGTTTTTATTTTTCCTTTTTTCGTATTCAGCCTTTCGTTATTTGTTCGCCATCGTTTTTTTTTTTTTTCAAAGTTGCCAGAAACTTCTTCGTGCGCTCCGAGACATTTTGTTATTTCGCCCGAATTTCTCGGGTCACGCACGCGTGGACGCCACCAGCTAATTATAACGACAAGTTTCATTCCTACATTTGATTTATTTGTGAATGCGAAAGCGTCGAATGGCTTATCGGGTGAAAAAAAACTGGCGTGTCCACCAGCCAAAGGACACCTAAATTCCAATTGGCTGCAGCCCTACTTAATGTGCGTTTCTCGTTGCGCGACTGCGCAGCGCATCGCCATAACGTCACGTCACTCTTCCTTGCAATCCCGTGTTCCCGGTTTGTCGACGATTTCGAGATTGTGATAGCAGGAAGCGTTCGGCCATAAATAATGACCGATTACGTCATTTATCACTCAGCTACACACCGAAACGGACGAAACGGAAAGTGTGTTTCTGTGTTTTTACTGTAGACTTTTTAGATAAAAGTGCGCCTCATAATGATTCAAGTTAGACCGACGCCCGCAAGTACGCAAATGTGCCCCGACCTTCGATCATGTTGCGGCCGAAGTAACGCACCCCCCCCCCCCCCCTCCGGGACTGCCACTCGCCACAGGTCTGTCGCGTGACGATCGGAAGATAGCCGCCGATGCCCCGCCGTGGTGGCCTAGTGGCTAAGGTACTCGGCTGCTGACCCGCAGGTCGCGGGATCGAATCCCGGCTGCATTTCCGATGGAGGCGGAAATGTTGTAGGTCCGTGTGCTCAGATTTGGGTGCACTTTAAAGAACCCCAGGTGGTCGAAATTCTCGGAGCCCTCCACTACGGCGTCTCTCATAATCATATGATGGTTTTGGGACGTTAAACCCCACATATCAATCAAGATAACTGCCGATCATTTCCTCTCTGCTTGAGCCGTGATCTTCGGCTGCCCTCGCAGGCTTTCATTCGCACATAGAACACATGACGCACAGAGTATATGTGACCGATTTGAAATTTTAGAGAACATCACGGCGACGCCTACGCCAACGGCGAAATGCGTCGGTAGTGTCTATATCTATAAATTCATATTGCAATAAAATAGAATAACTTCACAAGGAAACTGTTACACATGTAAGCAACTTAGAGCCTAAGATCTATGCTAGGTAATTAAGTGCCTTGCTTAGTGCACTCAACCAGTTCTCCTAAATGGCAGAACTGTGCCTATGCTTAATGATGTCATGCTACTTTGAAGCAAAATATTTATCTTACCACTTCAGTTGCTACTGCTAGGCCTCTGGAAACTGTGCATGAAAGTAGCATGGTGTCATACAGTATATTGCACTGGCCTGCTGTTTGGGAGGTTCTGTGTGCAGTACATATATCCCTGTCACCACCACTGGGTTTATTTACTGTACACACGTGCTGGCCATGGTGGTGTAACCTTTGTCTCTTGTGTTAACAGGTGTCGATGTCATGCGGTATTGGCACTTCAGGCTACTTCTGCTTTTGCTTGGTCATACGTTCAGTCTGACAATAATGCTTTCAAATATTCAGAACTCATCTTGGATTTTATTATTTTTATTATTGTTAGTGTTCTTGTTGTTAGGGTTATAATAATAGCACAATAACATTCACTGCCCTTTCGCACATTGCACTAATTTTTCTTCCTAAACTCAAATATATGCCTATGTTACCTGTAATGGCATTTCTAAATCCGGCAATGACACCATTGAGGGCATTAAAAAAAAAAAAACTCCAAAGCAAATATAGTTATCTCTATGCTGAAGATGACTAGATTCTGTTGTAGCACTATTTGGTTATTGTCACGGTCATTGAAACTTGTGCCAGCGAAATCGTGCCAGTCTGCTATTTCATTTGTAATGGCATTACCTGCCCTGAACTGTTCACCTGTATATATTTTATTAAATTAGATCATAAATGCTTCATACTCCTTGTGTTATATTAATATATTTTGCCCTGTCAATGTGACTAGATATTTATGTCTTTATTGGTATTTTATAAAGTTTGCGCATTGTTTATTACTTCTTTCTTTCTTTTTTGCATGCGTCCCGCTGTGGTGGTGTAGTGGTTATTCGGTTTCACTGCTAACCCAAAGGTCGCGGAATCGAAGCTCGGCTGCGGCGGCTGTATTTTTGATGGAAGCAAAAATGTTCAAGGCCCATGTACTTGGATTTAGGTTCACGTTAAAGAACCCAAGGAGGTTTAAACTTCCGGAGCCCTTCATTACGGTGCTTTTGTAACCATATTGTGGTTTTCGGGCGTTAAACCCCACATATTGATATTATATTGCTCTTTTTTTTTGCATGCAGCAAGAGTAAAACATCTGAGTTATTCTTGGGCATGTTAAAGATATGATTGCTTGATTTAATTATACCCTTATAATAGCTTGCAAATGAGTTCTGCAGAGACCCGAAAGGTGGCAGAAAAGTTAAGAGAGGGAAAGAAGACAACCACCTTTTTGTAGCACGAAGCCGCAAGAAAACCTGTAAGAATTTCTTAAAGAGAAAAGCCTCTTAGTTGCCGAAAAAATTGTTCTAGACCGGGGTTCGAATTTGGGACCAACGTCTTACCGGGGCTGTTGCTCTGCCAATGGAGCTAACCAAGAAGGTAGCAATTCACAGTGCGAGGGCGAATTCATTGCCAAATCGAAGCACATGGACACATGTATTGTCATCTTGTGGGTTTCCGAAGAACTCATTTGCAATACTTGTTCCATGTGCTTCGTTGTCAATGGATTCGCCCTCGCACTGTCAATTGCTACCTTCTTAGTTAGCTCCAATGGCAGAGCGACAGCCCCTCTCAGGCATTGATCCCGAGTTCGAACCTCGCACCATGGCGAAGTTTTTGTCAACTAAGAGGCTTTTCTTTCCGAGAAATCCGTAGTGATTTTATTAAGGCTTCGTTCTACAAATGGGTGGTTGTCTTATTTCCCTCTCCTATTATAGCTTTCTGCAAGGCATTATATTTTGCATTCACATGCTGCCAAGTCCCGTATTGAGAGGCGCATTAGTACAACTTCATCTCCACTTCTTCAGGCTTCCACACTGACCACATGACATCATGAACAACGCCTGTCTGATTTCACTTGTAGAATTCAGTTACGTGGTCGTCACGTGGGTAAAGGCTGTAGGCAGTGTGTCAAAGATAAAACTTTATTTGGTCGAACATGTATGCACTCAGTATACACTGATCACGGCAAAAAAAAAAAAAAGCATCGACCATGGAAAAAGCTGATCATTGTTGGGATCCGCCGTCTTTTATACATGACAGATCAAACTTTCCAGAGCTACCACTGGTGGTTGTGCAAGCTCTGTAATAAGCTTGAATGATCGCATTATGCACATAATCTTAACAAAATTATCTATTACAAATGCAAAGTTTATCGAGCACTGAGGTGTGGTCTGCGCCGAGCATAATTGAGAGTAGTATTTGTGGGCAGAAGCTGAATACAGCAAAATTGAAACATTAAGTGCATGTGGTAATATTCCTTATGTGGAATATTTTAGGATTTTAGAATAGCCATAAGCTGCGTGTTTTTAGGGAGGCAAACCCAAGCTGGCCATATGCATGCTGTATGTTGTTGTGGGACAAAAAGGCTTCTCAGGGCGTGTGAAGCATTTGTGGGATGTGGCTGCTGATAATGAAGCGTATGGCCCAGACATCTATATAGTTCAGTGGCCCAACGTTGTAGCCACTGAGAAAACACAGCAGGCTAGCAATTTATCATGTTTGCCTGAGGTTCCTGAATATGCATTCAAAGGGTATTTTAACATTCTATCACTTTGAATTCGGCCCATTGTTATGCTCAGCAGTGAAGCGAAATGATTTTGACAAGTGTATGGGTTAGATTCATGTGGAGATTTCTTCATCGATTCTAAAGAGATTCTATAGAAAGTCATATACTGTTAAATGTGTCTGCAGTTTGAAGTATACTACATGTGTGGTTGTATGGGGAAGAGGTAGCATAGGGATCGTCATTATGTGTTCTTTAAGGTAGCTCCGATATGACATACATTTATATTGATCTGTCATACAACCCAGATGTGGAATCTGCTTCATTGAATTTGGCAAGTCTAACATGACCTGCCTTCATGTGCAGCTTATGTTCAATGCAAATATGTACCAACCTCTGAGGAGTCATTTTTTACAATGCCTTCATTTATACTTGCATATATATTTTTTTAGAAATGGATGTATTGATGCCGTATGTACGAAATTTTAAACTTAATTCCTCCCCAGAATTCCTCACGTAAGCTGTCCACGAGAATGCATTCTATCGTTTGATGATGATGCAGTCTGCTTTTCTATTTTTTTTCTTCGGCAAACGCCAACAGATGGAGCAGATCGTGGAGCGCATGCAGAACGAACAGACTGGCGTGCCCGTGCGGACGGTCAAGAGCTTCATGTCAAAGATACCCAGCGTGTTCACTGGTGAGTTGTCCGTCTTGTACAATTATTAGAACTATGAATAATAATTGAAAGAAAAAAAATGTCTAGACCATTCCAATCAGTGGAGGTGGTTGACCAGAGGATCCGATGTATCTCTTGAGAGGTAAACATATCAGATCTCTAATGAAGAAAAACAAGCCTTTGAATTTCCACTTACTTTGTTTGGAAGTTGTTTAAGGCATAGAGTTCTAGTGTAAACTCTGGCCTTTCCTAGGATCCTGTTTTTGGGGCGGCATCAGCATTGTGTCTTCTTTCTAGTGTTTTGTCAGCATTTTGAGCAGTCCCTTATAGAGCGCATGATGACTCATGTGTTTGGCATGAAATTTTTGCTAAAGCAGAATTTTCATGATGCGAGCAATTCTCGATGTCAACTTTGCATGCTGTTCAGTAGGTGGCTTTTATTTCATCACCAGTACAGCCCCGTACAACAGCAGAAAGGGACAGGTTTGCTGCAGCAGCACCCAATGGCGAAATGGAAGATGTATTTTGGTTGTAACAGCGTCATGCACTCGGCAAAAGCAACCTTGAATAGCGCAAACCAGTGGTTCACAGCCATGGATATGTGTCGGGGGACCCCTTGTGGGCTAGTGGAAGATGGGGGACCCCTTACGTGGAGGGAGGGAGGGAGAAGGGGGTACATAGGTAAAGTAACACAACTGGAGCCTGAAATAGGCGTCTTTTATTCCTATCAAAAACATCAAACAAACGAGCCACGTCACTTCATTTTGGACAGTTTATCAATACATGGCACAGTTATGCTTAAATAAAAATGCAGGTGAGGGCTTCGCAAATCATAGAAATGGCTTCGCAGACCCCTAGCATCCGCGGACCCCCATTTGAGAACCACTAGTGTAAACGGAACACAACACACACACATCACTGGCTGATAGCCTATCGGCTTGGCTAACCCAATGTTCTATAGCCATCATGCTTATCTCGATGCAAAACATGATTGCCAATTAACGATTGTTCATGCACAATGTAATTGGCAAAGCCTTGCAACTATTTAATATCATAAAAGCATTGACTAAAGGATACTGTAGTTCTGTGACAAATATCTCAAGATGTTCCACACGATGTGCTAATGTGCAAAGTACACATACACATAAATGCTGTCTTCTACACCGTTTTGTTTTTTTAGAGATATTCGAATTCCCTGTCAGCATTGAACACATAGTCATGTGCTCCAGAAATCTGTTGCATAGCTGGTCACTGTTTTGTTGATCTCAAAGCTTCTGACCGATATGAGACACTACCATACTTATGAGTTTACATTTTCACAAAATCATGCAACATTTTAAAGGTATACAGCATGGTTCACTAGGGAACATTCAAATGAGCACCTTTCATATTGCTGCCCCCCCCCCCCTTCAGTGCAAGCAGATATGGAAAAATTTTTTGTGTGCAACACTAGTCTGTTAAAGGAGCCAAAACTCTCAGTGACTAGTACTACTATGCAAATCTAAGCAAGCTAGACATGCCATACGCACAAGTATTTCCTTTAACAGTGGACCCACTTGTATGTGCATTATGAAGTGTTGTCGTAGTTTAATTTATTAGGCTCGTTTTGAAGTAGTAAGCACATAAGCAGTTGGGGAGGGGGTCACTGTCAGCCTAGATGTGCAACAGGATGGGAAAGGCATACAAAAGAGTTTTGCCTTCAGGACAAGTGAGACCTATTATAGATGCTGTTTCACAAATCTCTTAATTAAGTAATGCATACGTTTTTTGTGCGGCAGGAGCTGACCTGATTGCATGGATGATGAAGAACCTTGACGTCGACGATCAGAGTGAGTTGAAATGTCTGCCGCTTCCGTCACACATATTTCCAACTCTCTGAAACATTCTGTCTAAATTTACTTCGCAGTTCAGTGGACAAGATTTCTAATCAGTTTCACATCCACACTGCTGATACTAATGATTCTTGTCCTAGAACCAAGTTTGGTATCATGCACAGGCGGTTTTAATATTGAATGGGGCATGGTGATGCATGGCAAAAATGCGGGGCATGGTGATGCCACATTGCTGCATGTAATGTAATTTATTGTGCGCACAATATAAGATCCCACAAAGGCAATAGAAAATGCAGCAGAAAACAGTATGCAGCCGATCGCCACTTTGAGTCTTCGTTTGAAGTATAGTTAATGTGAGATAAACAGAGAATGAAAAATGGATGAGAAAACAGCTCACTGTTGGTGTGAATTGAACGTATGATCTCTGCATTACATGTGCAGATTCCATTTGTGGCATCAGGAGAGCTTCATATTTAGGATTTAGTTAGGTCCCCTTGGTTTTGACAACAAAAAAGTATGTGGGTGGGGTTAGTAATGGTGTATGACATATGATAGATGGTATTCTAGAATAACAGCTAAGACTGTTGTAGAAGAAAGGTAAATACAGTAAGTGAACACAGGCGATCCATGCGACGTGACAAAATTGGGAAACTTTCAGGCACAAGATGAAAGCCGCCACTGCGAGACAAGTGGTAATTGCAGAATCCTTATAGGAAAGTCCTGACTCTGAAGCAGCGATGTGGATGATGACGATGCACAAAATATTGTGTAGTTCCAGCTGTGTGCTATGAGATAGCCAACAGTAAAGTGATTGCATGGCGTCGTTTGCTGCCTTTGGTCACAGCGGAAGCTCTACACCTGGCGCACTTGATGGCCTCGCACGGCTACTTCTTCCCCATCGATGACCATGTGCTCACCGTCAAGGCAGACGGCACCTTTTATCGCTTCCAGGTGTGTGTGTACACCTGTTACTTCTCATGCCTCACTACTAGTTAGTTTGTTAGTTAGTTAAAATAACACAGAGCCGAGCTAGTTGTCATACTCCCTATGATCTACGCTGTGATCGCTTTCGATTGCCTTTTTTCAGAGCAACATATGGTAAGCAAACATTATCATACCAAAAACCTTATGTACTCATGAAAATAGCTATGTCCGTGAACTTTTCAACGAACATAACACTAAAAACAGTCTGAGAAAAAAAAAGTTAAGATGTACTTTTTACTTGTGAGGAGTCTTACTTTTATTATTTATTATAAATATTTCTTTTTATATTGTTCGTCCTTTTGCATATTTGATGAAAGTTGCTCAATTTCTTTCTTTTCAAATGTATTTCTTTATGGTACTTAGTAATTCTGTCAGAAGTTTCTCCTTGTTGCATTTTATATATATATATATATATATATATTATATTGCTACTGCTAATTGCTGATGACTGTAACTTTTCAAATGTATTTCTTTATGGTACTTGGTAATTCTGTCAGAAGTTTCTCCTTGTTGCATTTTATATATATATATATTTTTATATTACTACTGCTAATTGGTGATGACTGTAATGTGTTATTTTAAAACATATCTGTCAACATCTGCTATACTTTCTGAATCTGAATTTTGTGTCCCCTCATTACAAAGCAGAATGAAATTTGTATTCTTTGTTCCACTTCACCTGAGCAAATGTATGGGTGGAGGGACCTTAGTCAGGCAGAGGTAATCTGCCTTTGCTCCCTTCAACCAAAGCAATCTTTGTTTTTGTCTGAATAAACAGTGAATGAGTGAAGTATTTATTCTAAAAAACAGGGTGTGCAAACACGAACACAAGAAGTCAAGATGCCACAAACGCCGGTGTTTGTGGTGTATTTACCTTTTTGGATGGTTAGTTGGCTAGTTGGTTTGTTAGTTGGAATAACACAGAGCCGAGCTAGTTGTTAAGTATTCATTCTAAAAGGCAGGGCATGCAAATGCTGACACAAGAAGGAGGTCAAGACGCCAGCATTTGTGATGTTGAAAACTAAGCAACTAAATAGTTAGTTGCTAGTTAGTTAAAGTTTCCTGCAGTGCCTGTACTTGGGGGAAACAATGTAGTATGCAGTAACATACCCTCAGAAATGCAGTCAGTAGCCATGTCAGGCTAGCTTTTTCATAGAGTTTCCCAGAAATACATTAGAGGGAACTTTGATGCCGCCAGCGTGTCTGGGAGCTGCCACGCATGGCGCTTCAGCGAGCGTAGGAAGGATGGGTAGATGGTGCACAGACTTGTGTATTTTTCATTCTTTTGTGTTCGTTTGGCTTCGCCTGGCTCAGAGCTGCTTTGTCACGAAATGAAAATCAGCAAATGTTCAGCAGTTGCACTTCACCACTCTTAACTTTTAGGCTCTTCATTTCAAATCGGGTAACGAAGTTCACAACTGTTCGTTCTTTTATTCGAAACAAAACCAAAACACAATAAACAAAGCCACTAGTATGTTTGTAACCTGCAAGCACGAAAATTAGGCAAATCCGTGTACTACCCATCATTTTCATGGTTTCTGAACGATCGCAGCACCAGAGTCCTCTCTCGTTTAATTTTAGGAAACTCTGTGGGTTTTTCAACATAGAAATGAAATTCAGAAGTAAATAAGTAGCAGGTCTTTCTTACTGATTTAGCACTCGTTGCAGGTTGTTGACACAGTGCAAAAGACTCTCTGGTCACAACACTGGCATGGCTGTGTTTCATGTCAGTGCATTTACTGTTGAAGATTTTTTTAGACTGCTGCAGTGAATCTCTCTTTAGTCTTTTTGGTGCTTGTTTCACGTGGGGCGTTTTTGATCATGATTAAGCCTGGTTGGGTTCAAGTTGCTGGACTGCAGTAGGCTTCATTTCGCAAGGTTTGTAAGATCAGTGTAATCGCTAGGAAGGTACTCTGTTTGCATTGCACTCAGTCACAGCTTAGTGTGGACTGTGGGATGGTCATTAAATGAGTGAGAGGTTCACAAAAAAAGGAAGACTTGAAGTGATTAACAGTGGTAACTTCACCTTTAGTTTTCGTTCAGCGACTCCTTCCCATTATGGCAAAATTATCTGTTGCCCCAACATGTTTATGCAATAACTTCAGCAATTTGAACTGTTAATCGTTATCTGACGACTTACTTAACAATACTACTTAAGTTGCCTTAGCCAGTGAATGGTCTCTTTTATGCTTGCAGACGCCTTACTTCTGGCCCTCAAATTGCTGGGAGCCTGAAAATACTGACTACGGTAAGCCACTGTTTCCTGGTGACCATAGTTTCTCTAGGAGAATGCTAAATGCTAGTTTGCTGATGGATCTTTACTTTTATTACTCTGTCATGAAAGGGCTAACAGGCTGTGCCTCTTGAAACAGCTAACAGACTGTGCCTGTACTGTTATTGGTTTTTTGATACACAACTCGGATAATCATTGGACACACTGCAAAGTGTATTCAAAGATTCTAATCTAATCAATGGTAATTGCAGTGCAAATCTTAAGTCAAGCTAAATTCATTGATTATGTTTCGTAAATTGCTCACAGCTCGGGGTTCCCATGGGAATATATGTGACGCAGAAGAGCAGAATCAAATGCAAAAAAATATTATTTCAGCACTATCTTGATGTTTTTGCAGCAGCTACTGCATGGATGGAAGACATTTTGCATGTTGATTCGGTAGTCTCAATTTGAAAGGGAGTGTGTGGAATTTGAACACTCTCACAAAGACTGAGCCTGGCCAGTTTCTAGGGACATTGTTTGAAAAACACTTAGCTGTGAAATTTAGAAGATACTATTGCTGTATGCATCCTTGATTCCCAATGTTTCAAACCTTGTTGTTTAGTCACGTTACCTTCAAATATTATTGTTTTTCCTAATTAATAGTAGGTTGTGTTTGTTGATGGAGTTTTCAGCTATTGGCGGCTCGATTTACTAATGGTAATGGGCTAACCGTCAAGTCTTGCCAGTGTGTCTCACCTTTGATTAAGACTCGGCACTAAGTGCTGTGCCACTGGTCTCCGCTGTGTATGTCTAACTTGTTCTCTGTCGGTCTCTTTCACCTCATCCGGTGAACATGATTGGCCGCTGCGCAGCCGTGTACCTGTGCAAGCGAACAATGCAGAACAAGGCCCGCCTGGAGCTAGCCGACTACGAGGCTGAGAACCTGGCCCGGCTTCAGAAGATGTTCTCGCGCAAGTGGGAGTTCATCTTCATGCAGGCTGAGGCCCAGGCAAAGTGAGTGGCCATCACTGGAACATACTTGGCACTTGTAAGACTAACGGGATGCTATTTGATGCTTCTTCAACCTCATCACAACCTTATACCCAAATGCTCTTCAGACCAATTATGACATTAAAAAAAAAAATAGATCATACGAGCCTGAAAAACACTTTTTGTTTGAATTTCATTGTTAGATGCTAAAGACGACAGCAACTCAACGTGCGTAGACAAAGTGCATACACTCTCCCCCCCCTTAAGACCCTCACAAAAGGATCTTAAGGTTGTTGTTAATCAAAAGGTAGCCATCCCCTCAAATTTCTTGGGAAAAAGAAAACATCTTATATTTGCCAAAATGCATAGGCCATCGAAAATGTAAAAGGATTTTATAGTGTGTTCATGGATTCTTTTACCAAGTCACTGTATTATGCAATTGGCATTTTGCGGGTGTCTATTTGTTGTCTATTATGATACACTGATGTAGAACAAACTGGCGTGAATTTTCATCAGTGCTGACAGCAATATAGTTATGGTGACCCCGGTACTCACCGTAGCGGATGATCACCGCGGGTTCACGCTTAGTGTGCCACAGGGCTTCGACTCCGTCACTTACTCGAGTGTAGCACACCACTCCGCGCGCGCTCAACTAATAAGGCGTTTAGTGCGGCAAACAGACAGTGTTTAAATACAAAAATACACAACACTTTATTGCCCTTGGCGGCACCCCGAACAACAGTACAACGTCCGCTCCAGGGATGCGGGGAGCAAAGGCACCCAAATGCGGACGTTCACAATAAGGGAAACCGCGAGCACGTCGCAGCTGGCAATGGTAAGCTTTGACACGCCGGTCAGGAAAAGGTCCTTCGCGGCTATGGTGCGCACTCTCACGATGGCCACTGGGCCTGGTCGCGAGTGTTAGGGCAAACCTCGCATACGTAGAACTACGGCAAGTGCGGCTCGGTGTGGTACGACCACTTCGAGCACTAGGCACCGCTGTGGGCTTAGCGTACGCTACCGAAGCTAGCCCTGAAGTAAACACGCCTGCCGAGGTGCCAAAGGCCACCCCAGGCAGGCTACAGTCCGGCGATTCCCCAAGGGGATGCGGACGAAGGAAAACACGTGCTTACCCGGCGCCAACCACGGAGAAGAGAGCCAGCTCTCTCGGCGCGCACGTAATACGTGCGGTGCCAGCACGTGGCGCCATCTATCGTCACGTGCCGTTACCAGAGCAGAAAAGCAAAAGGTTGTGGCCGTGTGGAGGAATGCCCGCGATATGGTCGCGGGCGCGCCTCAGATCCCCACATAGTTCATCTACAATTTCTTCTATTAGACCACTCCCTGTTTGTAAACAGTGTGACGTCACTGCGGGCACCCCGCCCCCTACACCCTTTCTCAGAGCAGGTGCTAGTTGGCAAGAAAGTTTCTCCGGCGGCACCTTTATGCATAGCAGAGTGGCGTGTCTGCATTTTTTCGACAAAAATTTCTATATTGCTTTGTTCTAAAGTCACAGCTTTTAAATGAAGGGGGTCGCGGAAGGGTCACTGCTCATAGTGTGGGAATTTGCTCGTCGTAGTTGGATGGATGGAGAAACTTTGTTTAGAGTACTGAGAGATGCGACTAGCACGCAGTGGGCTTTACCCACGTAGATGGCAGCCATAAAGAAAATCTGATCTTTTTCAAGAGCGAACATTTTGAATGTACATGATTACTGGCACTTTGAGGAATATTTGCATGGCACGGATCTAAGCTTACTCGATTTCCATCGTGGCATGTGCAATGCAGTTTTAAATGAGGTACAGCATTGGCGGCAGTATGGTTTTCGAGTTGCTGTGCGCGACGTCACGGATAAGATTCTCGCTCATTGCCCAAAAGTCTCATAGAAGATAAATGAAAAAAAAACAACACTTCTTGCCATGGGTTAGGCTGAGGTTAACATGTCCTCGTGAAAATCAAAGTGAAGTTCTGCCGCTGCGTTTCTCAAGAACACAGTGAAAATTTGTGATCTGAAACCCGACATCTTATTAGTATATAATATTATCTGGCACAGTTACCTTGCTGCATTTGACACCTATAACGTGTTTTCGTACCTATATTGCTCCTTTAGGCCTGATACACAAACTTCTAACGTGCATTGTCACTTCATAAGGATCGAGCCGTAAAAGTGCAAAGTAAATAAGAAACCAAAATCTCCGCTGTTTTTATTAACACGTATCAGGTATCAGATATTACGAGTTATAGCCGATACTACAACATGCTTATAACTCATGCGTAGTCGTATATATCACCAGGAGATCATGCACTTTAATTGTTCTGCATGCCGCGCATACCGTATTTACTCGATTCTACCGCGCCCTCGATTGTAACGCGCGCCCGGTTTCCACGACAAAAAAAAAAAAAAACTAAGACATCGATTGCAACGCGCACCCAGTTTTCTCGTTGGCCCGCTTGATCACATCACTCGGGAAAACGACTCTTTTTGAGAGCGTCTTCCGTTTAAATATGAAGTACGGGGGAAGTTTATGCCTATCTGACATGCAACGGAGCATTGCTGTCACTCTAGTTTTACCGTGGCCCGATGTCAGTACACGAACTTGCTTCGCCCCCTTCTCCTCGACGGTTGTGGTGCCAGGCATGTTGAAGTAAAGAGGCGTCTGATCGGCATTCCCGATTTGCCCAAGCAGGTAGCCGTTGTTGTGCCGCAAGTTTAGGAGGAACCTCTGAACACTCTGAAGCTTTTCTTCGTACTCCTCCGGCAACTTCTGGCATATGCCCGTTCGCCTTCGGAGGGAAAAGCCTTTCCTCTTCATAAAGTTAGTTAGCCAGCACTTGGTCGCTTTAAACTAGCTCTGCATTAGCACTTTTTCTAAGGCTAACTGCATAGCCTGCACTTGGAGCAGTTCTGTCGTCATGGGTCGCTGTGCCGCTCACTGCTTAATCACATACTCGCCGAGCAGCTCTTCAATTTGTGGAAACCGACCCTGCTGTGGTCCACTGAAGCCTTTGCGTGAATCTTTGCTGTCGACAATATTCTGCTTTTGTTTCCGCCAGTCCCGCATGCACGTTTCGGGAACTCCGAATGACCGCGATGCGGCCCGATTTCTGTCCGTTTCGGCACACGCGATGACTTTTCTTTTAGAAGCAGCATTGTGGTGCACTCGTCGAGTTTTTGGAGTCGGCCCTACCATGCCGTAGATGCTAATGTACTACAAGATGACGAACTCCTCAGCACACGTATGAAGTGCCGCACATGGGAAACACATAGGCAGAAATGACCGGCCTGCCATGCCGACGCACGTAGGGGGCAGCCATTTTGTAAGTGGCGATGGCAATAGAATGACCATATTCATTTTTTTTCGTACTCGATTCTAACGCGCATGCAATTTATGAACTCTCTTAACCGGAAAAAAGGTGCGCGTTAGATTCAAGTAATTACGGTATCCACTCATAGATGATCGCGTCGAATGTATTTTTACCTTGAATACAGTGTCAGATGGTAAAGCTCCATGGACAGTCGGTTACTGAAACTGGCCCACAACGAATACCAGTGTTTTCGCAAACAGGATGCATCGCATTATTCACACTGACACACACCACACACAATATTCCCAGTTTCACCTGTCTGTAAAAATGAACCAAAATTATCAATGCATTTCAACGCACACTACACGGCACAGTCAACACTGCACATTTTCGAAAAAGTGCCGCTGTTCCTCGCACAGGCTGCCATGTGTGTTCATTTTTTGTAGATAAACAGCCAGCCAGCGTGGCGAATATTTCATCACACACATTATCACACACCTAATGTTCTCTGACACATGCCACAGCTAATGTTGCCACTGTGAGATGTAAATAAAGCTTTCAAAAAGGAAAAAAAAATTGCCCTAAGCACCGAGCGACTGCACCCCACTCAGCCACCGGCGGGAGTGTTTTGCCAACCACCGCCTTGCACATGCACCGGTGACGTCACGCTGTGACGTACCCTGGTAGAGGTCTATTGTGTTGGTATTATCTCCACATGTACAGCCGCGGCATTCATCCTTGTATGCATGATGAGATGATTATATTGCATAATTGCTTGTGCAACCAAATGAAAACATCAAATCACTTTAGTGTGCCCCATAAAACAGGCAAAGCTTGGCATTTGCTAAAGGAGTTTTAAACATTTCTTTGAAATCAGTGAAAGACGATGCAAAACAACGTAGGCTGATGTGTTTTTTTTAGCGGAGCTGGTCTGGTTGAGCTTTGCCGCTTCTCGTAGGTAAATAATTATCATCGTCACAAACCGACACGCTTTTAAATCACCGCCCTAGAATTTTGTACAGAAGATTAACAAAGGGAGCTGAAAGGTAGTAGGATTTACCCAGTTTCTGTAGCACATGCATGATATAAGAATTTTACTGCAGAGATGTTAGGGTCTAGGTTCGCTGTGTGTCGCAGATAGAAAATTATCAATGTCACTATCATTATCGTCATCATTATTATCATTATCAACATCAGAGGTTCGAATACAGTCTCTTGACTATTTAACCGTCTTCTGTATACTTAATGCCTGTAATTCTACCCAACTTTTAATACTAAAATTCTGATTCTGATAACAAACCAATATGAGCTTACTGACTGCCCAAGAGTTCTGTGCAGCTCATTGACTAAAGAAGCTGTGTGCCCGCCAACTCTGCTACGACCCCGTCTTGCGCAACTTGCTACACCTTATTGCATCGCTGTAGCCTCGTCGGCTGTGTGTTTTTCACCTCTCTCTTTCGTTCAGGGTCGACAAGAAAAGGGACAAGTTAGAAAGAAAAGTTCTCGATAGCCAAGAGAGGGCTTTCTGGGATGTACATAGGCCAGTGGTGAGTAGGCGCAGCATCTGCTTTCCTCTGCTACCTTTCTTCAAGCAAGCACTTTGCTTTGTGGTTTCTCTGGGCAATGCATTGTATCGTGATAGTTTTTTCGTTCTTTTTCAATGCATGTCATGTAGTGCCCAAAGCATTGTCGTAACCTATGCAGTTATCTCTCTGGCAACACCTTATAAGAGCGCAGAACTCAAAGTGACAACTGGAATTTGCAATGGTTTTAATTTGTTTGTAATTCGTGCCATAAAATAGACGTTCACCAAGGCATTTACATATTTAAATAAAAAAAATGGACATTTCTCACGCTGGAAATGTTTGGAAATAGTGGTACGTGGAACTATGAAAGTTAAAATTTCAAAAATATAACAAGAATTGCTGGGGAAATGTTTTGTTAAACATAGATGTAAGGAACGTAGGTATAATAGATTATTGATGATAATAAAGCAAATTAAGTGTGGCCATCAATAGAGTCATAAATGTGCATTTATAATGAATTTTGGGATATAGCAGTTATCTTCATGTCGAATGTCGCCTTGTATTTTTGATGTTTGACAGCATTGAGGTGTGTTTGTGCAATTTGAACAAATTGTAACACACGTGCACAGAAAAGACGGACAAACCACATTTCTCCTCTGTCGGTCACCATTTTTAGTGCTAGTTACGTTAATGGTGTCCATTAAACAGTAATGTGATTACTGTGTTTTCTACAATGAATCATGCCATTGTAAAACAAAAGCATCTGAAATAGAAAGCATGAAGAACACTGTACTTGAATTCAACTCATTGGAATATCAGTGCATACGGTATAGTAACAAACAAGAAAAATTCTCTGACTGCGTTGAAAGGAAAACACACAAGGAATCTTTTCTGCCTAATTACAAACAGATTTTTTAGGAAGATGACCATTGTCTTTGTTCATGAATTCAATGTCGAGATTTGACCTTGTCCCTAAAACTAGTTTGAAAAGAGTAATGAACTAATACTTGTTAATTAATGTTTCTTCATAAACTTGAGGGTAGCCTTTACACAGAAATACTTGAAATCAAGCGCAATTTTTCGGATTTATAACAGATGACTTCGTATATGTCGTGTATTCTGAAGCCCTAAAGTTTTTAGGCTTTCTGACCACATATGTAGTAAATGATAAACGTCACAAAACTTTTGCATATGTGGCATCGTTATGAGGCATGGTGTACTGTTATAACGCTTTCGCAGAGCGGTGCGCAAATACTTTATATGATGTGGCGTTTATGGCATTTGTGACGGTCTTAAGTGGTCTTATGGCTTGATGGTATTTGTGATGTGCCGTAACAAAGTTTTTGCAATAGCGAAGTTCGTCCCTTGTATTGGCTGCTGAGTTTACTCGGTGCCTTTTTTGCAGCCGGGCTGTGTAAATACTACGGAAATCGACATTAAGAAGGCCTGCCGCATGAACAAACCAATCAAAAGCGCAAAGGTGAGTGGCCATTCAAACTTTAATCCCATGTTTTTTTGTTCGTTCATCTTCGTTGCAATCTGTGTAATGTTACTGTTCTTTAATAACCGTGGCTGCATAAATTAAGACATTAACAACACGCCATTATGCCTGGCAGAGAACTAAGATACACAACGTTGCATTTGACTGGTTTTCACGACCTGGTACTTGATTAAATATCTACTGGAGGATGTCGTTGAAGTTGAGCGTGAAAATTTGAACAAGAGTACATCGATTGAAGTGAAAATATATATGATCCAGGTTTATCATAACAAAAGTACAAAAGTTGTGTGAGCTAGCATTTGTTGCAGTATTTATCAAAACAGTGGAGGGCCTTTGAACAACCAAGGTGTTGACACTTGTTGACATATAAATCACGATCGCCGTCGACCATCTGTAACTGTACCTACAGATAAGGTCGTCAGATGTTTCTTTCGTGGCCATGTAGCTTTTTTTTAGTGTAATTTGGTCGTTCCTTACCGAGGTGCTGAACAAAGTACATTTTCAAATTACTGTACTCCCTTGCGTATAATCCATGCGAAACATACAGGAAATTCAGAGCTAAAGCCACGGTACAAGATAAGCGTGAACTTTAAAGTTCAAGTTGGCTTCGCAGCTCTGTTTTACTCTAATGCAAGGAGGTCAATTTCATGGCATTGTGCAAAGTCTTTTTTTTTTTCTTCTTATTCATAATGTGGCGATAGCAGTTATGGGGACAGTCTCGATGGGCTTTTGTCGTCACAGTCATATCCTGAATAAAGTCCACATTGACCAGATTCCCCAGCATCATGGTACGTTCTACCTGTGTGTGCAATGTGTACAAGCGGGGGAAATTAACGCAGCTGAAACACAGATCAAATAAGCCAGCCTATATCCATCAATTGTAGGTGCATGCAATAAAATCTCCTCGCCGGTTAGACTGGCTGTTGAATGCTCAAGCAGAGAGGAAACGCTCTACACGTCTTTAATGAGCATAAAAAGTTAGAAGGGTTGCTCTAGCAGCAACTGTAAACTTTGATTATGCGGATGCAGTCACCATCGCTAACAGGCGCACTCACTCACTATCTCGGCAACCATCAATGGGCGGCTCGTATGCCCTTCTACATTCTGCGCTCTCAACACGAAGAGACTGTACGAAAAGCGTCCCTGAAGTGGCCATACTCTCTTACACCAGCGTTTTGTAGAGTTTCGCGGCATCGGATCCAAAAGAGTTAGCTGCCAGCCTTACCCTGTATAGTAACATCAAATTTGTTGCTATCACGTTCGTTGCTTCACCCATGCCGTGAAATTGTGAATTCTTTTTTTTTATGATTTGCGGTTGGGATTTTGGTTGTACGAAGCACAAGTTACACAAGAGAAATAACAGTACGCTTCGCTTTAATTGACGCACATTGCAGCTGTTTTCGACTGTGCGACGAGCCTCGTTCCACTAAAATGTTTCTCGTTTTTAAACAGTTTCACAAACACCATCTTGTTTGTTTTCAACTCTCAACTGTAGCACTTGCAGTGCGCAGTACCTGGCGGACGCATCAGTCCCAGCGTGTCGGAAGGCGAGATTAACACACCACTAGATGTTCTCAAGAAGGAGGCAAGTATCATTCTTGCGTTCTAGCGTGAGTGTTACCACAGGTGCATTTTTTCTGTTCTCTTGATGATTGCTTTCAATAAACTCTTATCGCATTTTCAACTCTTTTGTAAGTTTGGGAACTTCATTATTTTGTCTGTCTCTATGAGTGTAAGATGAGTATTTCACTTTATTTAGATAGAACACACATTACGGACACTTTAGTAAATTCAACCGTTGACACGGGTGCTCCAGAATTTGGCAGATCTACGATGACATGAGCGTAGACAATGAAGAAATTAAAGCAGTGTTACATGTCTTAACGATTGTAGACTGCGCTCGCAACTAGTCAGCATCAGTAGTCAGGCATGTTCTTTGCGCTCGTTCCTTCTGCTGATGTTTTTACCAGTGTGCTATCACAAGCAGTACATCCAGAAAATTAGTTTCGTGTAGTTCTACCAAATCAGAAAGGAGGGGGGAGGGTGCAATAACCTTTTTGTGCATTGCCCTGGTGTCATTATGCATTCTCTTGAATAAGCATATTTTGGCATAGTTGAATTTACGATGTGTTGAGCATTTATGTAAGGCTATCCTTGTATGTTGCAGTGTAACCATCGAACACAATGTGCAGGGATGACCTTTAACTTGCCGACGTGGTGTTCAACAAACTATTTTAGGTATTTTGGGTAGTTCTGAAGTGAAGCAGGAAGCTTAGGCAGCGCCCCCTAACTGTCAGTATACACGTATTGCTTTCCAACTGCTCAATCTCGCTCACCGCATCTTGTATGGGAAGAGTTATTGGCACTTTCTGTTATCCTTGTTCTCTTTGCAGGTCATGTATTATAGGGGGGGTGGGGGAATAACATCATGATGAGACTATGACAAGAGGCAGAACACGCATGCACTATATTAAAGTACACTTTACCTTGGCAAGAAAAATTTTAAAACAAATTTTAAAACAAATCTTAAAACAATAAACCCTAGCATCTACCGTTGCCATAATGTCCCGTGTGTTGGTTTTAGTTCGGGTCTATATCCTGCTTTTATAAATTGGCACATCAGTGTCTGAGCTCTTTTTTTCTTCTCATGCGTCTCTGCCCAGGTGGAGACGCTCAAGGCGCGGCTCGACGGTGGCAATGTCAAGATCACCGCAGCTCTTGAAACGTGAGTGCCTTGCTGGCCCACCGTGCAATTTATTGGGAAGACTGTCTGTCAGCAGCAATTGTCATTGCCACTACTTTCATTTGTCTGAAATAGTAAAATACCATAGCATCTCATTAAAGGGAATCTGAAGGGACCAGGAAAATAGTTCCGTTTAACGGGACCTTTATAGGTTCCGTTTAACGGGACCTTTGTTTACTAAGAGGTGAACCGGGGTGCAGAATACAAGTGCGAAACCAATCACATTAGATCCAGTTGTTCCATTTAAGCAGCAGTTTCGTTTAACAGATTTCTGTTTACTGAAAGTTTACTGTAGTAGCTTGACATTGACCAGCTGGCACAACTGTCGCATTGTATTTGCACCTTTTTGTGTGTGTGGCCTGATATTGCATAATTTTGCACTGTAATTTTCTGCAAACATCTCATGTCATTCATTTAAATGTGATAGCGTTAAAGAGCTCGTTTCACAGGAATTTTAATGCTGGTGTCGGTGTTGGCATCGGGGTGTCGGCGTTGGTTGTAAACGAGAAATGATCATCTTGTTTGTGACCGAAAAATTAAGAAAGGTGCTAGTAAAATAATTAGAAACTTCGGTCCGAGTGAGAATCGAACCCAGAAGCCGTCTGCATGGCAAGCTGGCGTTCTATCGTAAATTCACGTTATTGCTCAAAACTGATTCGGAAAAAAAACGCAATATGAATGTCATGTAAGGAAAGGAGTCTCCTTAATCCACATAATATTGCATGGTGGAAGAGTAAAATCGTGCCAGGGGTCAAAGCATGCGAAGTGCGCGACGAGTGGGTGTTTTTAAGTCCCACCCTTGACGAAGCGTTCAAACATATGTTCACGTGTTGCCTTACGGATGCATAGTGGGTCCTCTCTGATATGCATAAGGAAGAATTATGGTGTAATGAGCACTTGAATAACTGTATTTGCAGTAGGCATCCTAGGATAGTTTGAAGTGGCCAATGTTACACATGCACAGTCGTTTATTTTCGTACGACACAGTTCAGGCGTACAATGAAAACATATAGTGAATATATATATATATATATATTGTAAGAATTCATTAGACGTCATTTTCCTCATCTGTCAATAACCATCATCAGTCTTCGTGCCGTTCCTCTTCATCAACGGCGCGATCTTGCTGTTGCTTGAATAAAGCGTCAGCTGAACCGTCGTATTTCAAGTGGTGGAAGGTGCTTCCCGATCTCTTCAACCTCTCTCCATCCAAAGCCAGCTCCTGGAGCTCCGTTCAGGACGTCGCTTACGCCAGCAGAGCACCAGGGCGCAAGACCAAGCCCAACCGAACCACCCGCCGCCAACCCTAGCCCTGTCAACAACCCCCCTCGGAGCCGCCAATCTTCTCCCGTCTGCCTGGTGAAGATGTCGAAGACTGGCTCGACAACTATGACCGCGTAGGTGTCTACAACAACTGGAATGAGGCATCGAAATTAGCACGTCTCTCAGGTTGCCAAGTCGTGGTTCCTAAATTATGAGAGCGACTTCCGCGATTGGTCTTCCTTCAAAGACCAGCTCCTACGCATTTTCGGCACACCGACCGTCCGTTCAGAAGTTGCTCGGAAGAAACTGGCAGAGCGCGTTCAACATTGTGGTGATTCCTACACTTCCTATATTGAGGATGTGCTTGCACTTTGCCGCCGTGTCGACAACACCATGCCAGAAGGTGATTGTGCCCGGCACCTTCTGAAGGGTATCGGACCTACCGCTTTCAACGCCCTCGTCGCGCTCAACCCTTCGGCGGTTTCCGACGTCGTCTCTGTATTGCCAGCGGCTTGATACCTTGCAGTCAATCCGCCTGCGACCCGACTTCTCTAAAAACCCCCTGGCAAACAGTATGGAGCTCTGATCCATCATTCGAGCCATAATTCGAGAAGAACGGCACGAAGACTGATGATGGTTATTGACAGATGAGGAAGATAACGTCCAATGAATTCTTACAATATATATATATATATATATATGTTGTAAGCACAATATTGACAACATTTGACCTTCATCTTCTTCATCTGTATATAATCAGCGTCACGAAAAACGTCGTCTTCGTTCAAAGGGTTGATCAGGCGATTCGGCCTAATAAACGCCGTCGAGACTCCAACGCTGCTACTGTCTTACAGAGTGGTGGAGGTGCGGTATATACATATATATATATATATATATATATATATATATATATATATATATATATATATATATATATACACACATACATACATATATATGTATGGACGGCGTCTCTACACTTCTTTCCCATATATATATATATATATATATATATATATATATATTGTCATGACCAAAAAAGACGCTGACGCTTCGGCGCGTGGGCAGCTAAGGGAAAGTAGAGGAAGATGAAGGCAGAATAAGAACAGCTGGCCCAGGATCGGGTGTTGTCTCTTGTTCTCTGTCTCGCTCATCACAATGGCGCAGCCGACAAAGAAGAAGTCTTATGTCCCGTCTTCGTTATCCAGGACAGCCGTGATAAGCGCCGCTTGAGGGCGGCGTCAAGGCCTCTTCGGCAGCGGTTCACCTGCCGCCACTGCCACCACCGTTCGGGGACGGTGTCAAGGCCTCCTAGGCGGCTGCAGTACAAGTTACCGGTACCATTTCACAAGATACGCCGTCCACGCATCTTTGGCTATGGATTCTGCCATCAGCGCAAGCCGACAAGTGAGCCCTCTGCGGGAAGCCACCGGCACGTGTCTTCGTGGTTCGTCGGCAGTGCGGGCTTCTCCATCCAGGAATGCCATTCACGCTTCTTTGGCGATGGAGTCAATAACCCGGCCGCCGCTTCAGCTGCCCATCGGACCATTAGGGTACGGTGTCCATGCCTCCTCTGTGGTACCAGGGCATCACCCAATGGACACTATGCTACCACTTCGCGGCCGTAATACGCACAGGCTCCTGTCTTTGGGAATGCTGTTCAAGCTTCCCATGGCCTGCATTCCCTGTCCGGTACTCTTCCAACACATGAGCCGCCAAGAAACGCTGTTCATGCTTCCTTGGACGTGCGTGTCACCATCGTGAGTACTACTAGAACCACGTACTTCACGGACGCGAACCAAAGTGGTTCAGAAGCCTCGTGCGACAATGCCGTGGAGCTGCGGCGTACCATCGCACTGCTCCGCGCCGAGACTAACAAACTGACAGCGTTGATCGCCGAGCGAGCTCCTACAATGTTGCCAGCATTGTGTGACATTAACGCAGTGTTCGATGTAGCTGCCTCATACAACCTTGAGGCAAGCACACCGGAGCAACACAGGGAGCTTCGGTCTTCTCTGATCGAGCTCTCACACCAGCTCGACTGCTTCGCGTCGGTGATCTCTGCGTTGCCTCCTGCCACCTCACAATCACCAGCCGTCTGCAAACTACCGGAATTCCACGGGGTCCAGAACGACGCCGACAGCTGGGTGGCAACCGTCAACGCGATAGCAATGCGCGAGGCCTGGACGGAATCTCAGAAATGGACCGTGGCTGTAGACCGTCTTCGGGAAGGTGCAGCGGCGTGGCACCGGTATGAAGGCTGGAAGCAGTAGTCATGGGCAGAGTGGAGCTGCAAGCTCATAGCTGCTTTCGGTCGTAATCCTTACCACCTCTCTACCACCACCCCGTCCAACCTGGCCAGTATCGAGGAGCAAGCTCCAGAGGCTTCAGCCTCTGGAGCTTGCTCTGGAGTTTCTGGAGCCTTGAGGCTGCAGCTTTGTGCTGCAGCTTACGGTGTTTGCTTACGGTGTTTGCAGCTTACGGTGTTGCGGCTTGCTTCGGGAACTTACTACACGATAAGTTCCCGAAGCAAGTTCACTGTGGCCAGAGGCCGCTACCCGAAGCAAGTTCACTGCGGCCAGAGGCCGCTACCAAAGTCGGACCTCTTGAAGGGCGTTGCGCCAACGAAACAGCCGCATAGAATCATCTCGACTGTGCTGCATTGCCCTTCACCGCTGCAACCCCATTCGCACCCCGAGCTGAAGTGGAGCAACACCTCGAAGATTCCTCGGAGCCCTCCAGCCGCGCGGCAGAAAGCTTCTCCGCCTGTCCTACGAAGGATGTCAGACGCAGGTGCGACACGCCACTGCTGCTCTCAGTACCCGCGCCGGTACGCGACGTCATCATGTCAGTGGAAGAGGCTGATACCAGTCCTCATACAGCTCAGTTAGAAAAGCCAGCCCCAATATCACCTTTACTGAGACAAGTGGAGACACCAGCATCGCCTATGCTTGAACCGCCTACGGCGATGGCACCAGTAGGGCCCAAGGTAACCACTGCTGGTGTCACTGACCAAGATCATGAGGAGAAAGTTGGCGCTCAAGATGCAGACTCGACCTCCCGATAGACTTGTGGAAGACTCTGGCACCCAGTTTCAGCGTGGCCAAGGCCGACCTCCGAGATGCAGCCACTATATCGACCGCCACATCTACCTTTGGCAGATACCGGGAACAAATCGCGGCCGAGAGCGTCGGCCGCAACAGGGCAGCCAGTGCCAGCCGCCTGAGTCCACAGCACTTTTTCAAAAGTCATTGTGACGTGGAAAAGAGCGACCAGCTCGAAGCAGCTAGTGCCGCCCACCAGAAACTTTGCCGCCAGCTTCGCGGGCGCGCTGTCATGGCCGAGTGTCATGACCAAGAAAGACGCTTGTGCTTCGGCGCGTGGCCAGCTGAGGGAAGGTAGAGGAAGATGAAGACAGAATAAGAACAGCTGGCCCAGGATCGGGTGTTGTCTCTTGTTCTCTGTCTCGCTCATTACTATATATATATATATATATATATATATAGACACACACACACTATATGAAACAGACTAGCAGTTGAGATGGCAATGCACATAGGGCCAGATTACACTGTTGCGTGCTACTCTTGAAGGTGAAGCTCAGTCGTCCTCTGAGTTTTTTCTGTCAAGGTTACGTGCGTTCTAACCAGTGTGTTTTCTGAAAGTTTGCTTTAGAGCATGTAGTGGTGGCAGAGAGGAACTTGTTCCGTCTCAACTATAACTTTATTGTGATAGCAATTATAAGAACACTCTTGGCTAGATTTTGCCACCGGCATTGACGTCGGTATCGCCGTCACTCATCGTATATGTATACATATCTATAATATGAAAATTTAAAAAAAAAAACCAGGAGAAGACTCTGGCACACGAAATCAAACGTGGGACCTCTGAATTGTGAGTGCGAGGCATTAGCCACTTAGCCAAGAAGGACCACATCCTTCAACACTGAAACGGCAAGCTATTTATATCTACCACTTACCGCTGGTGACAAGCAACTTGGGGGGATCTATTGTGTTTTCAGCATTACCAGCAAGATGGCGCAATGAGTGTGCGCAGCAACATTGTCACAGTGTGGCGCTCTCATCTTCCACGCATACTTTGCCCAGCGGAGAGGGGACTGAGTGGACAATCACGCGTGTGCTTATCTCGCGGTGAGGATAATCGTACGTATTGGCTGACTTTGGGTTTTCACTGGAACGATTCTGTTGTAGTTATTGGGTGCACAAAGGTCACTGCAATCATTGCAGTCTCCATGTCCTTTGTGTGTTATAAACAGGGGGAACGTTTGGACCTGCTTGTCATTCGGCGCGTGACCTTCCCATTTATTGCTATCGCGTTTATTGCTTCGCCTTTGCGGCAAAATTGTGACCTTTCTTGATCTCTTGCGTGATGAAGCGCCCAATAAGAAAGTGACAGGAGGCACAATTTATATTTCTGTAAAGTTTTTCTTCACGTTTTGCATCTGCTGTGTGTGCCGTCTTTGTAGTTAGAGAAATTTACAAACTACTAGCCAAGGTGTTTGAGTAACGTATGCCAAACGAGCCACTGACCTGTGAATAGTTAACGCTGCCGTTTCCTCGCTTTACAGGTACAAATCGTATTACGAAAAGCACGCAGAGTACGATGGCTTCTGCATGCCGCTTGAGCCTTCCAATCCTTGGATCTCGGATAGCACTGAGTTCTGGGAAGTGGAAAAGCAAACGTGAGTTGCCGCGCACTTTTCTCTTCTTTGGCGTTGTACTGACAGAGCTTCGCAGCGTGAGCACTTTCTTATTTGGTGCTCCCTTCATGCCATGCCAATTAAAGGCATGCAGAGTTAATTCAAGCAGAGCACACTTTTTACAAGACTTGAACTCATATGTATGTACATACCACAGTAAATCCCTCAGAACTATAACTGTTGGGACAGTACTCCTTCGAGAACTGCTGATGGCATAGCTGAGTCATTGAAATTAGAGTTACTGTTCATGTTGGCAAAGGCTGTACATGTGTTTTTGTTCACTGCCTATTTTACCCCTATTTGTCAAAGGAGGTTGTGCTGTTCAAAAAGCAAGTACTTAAAGGAGTACTGACACAAGTTTCAAAGATTTTTTGGTTGTTGCTCTATATAAAAACGCAGGTGTTTAGAACGCCAAAAAGCATGCCGTAGAACTTGCAAATGAATTGAATATATTTTTGATACCGGCACCGTATAAAGGTAATTTCGGTTTTAGTATTGAGAGGGTGGCTTCGCAATGACGTGTGAACACATCTGTCATCACAGGAAGACTGCAACTCGCAACGTACTAGCAGCAGCTGTCAATTGGCTGTCAGTAGCACATAGTTCCAATAGACGACAATGAATGGTCATCCAGAGATACCGACAGTAACTTCTGAGATTAGGGTGCATGCAAGGACTCGGATTTCGCAAACCCAGTGGACTGTGTTGACTTGTGACGGTGCTCATTGCACAGGGGCTGGCTTGCAGATGCTGGGCAACAAAAACTTCAAAATAAATATAAAATTTTTATACATGTTGTCTGGCTCTGGTGTGGGAAGAGCTTGAATGATGCACACCGTGGAAATTGAAAATGTTCGTTTCGGGTTGCCTTGAAATCGTGTCAGTACTTCTTTTAAATGGTACAAGCAGCCACTATAAGGCATACCTAAACAACATTGGCAATGACAATGCAGCATATTGCCACAGTTTGGCACTTTCTTCCAACACCACTAACCATATTACTGCTTGAGAAATGAGTGCCTTATCTTGACTTTTCTATTGTGGAAAGTTGCATGATAAATACTTTTGCTCATTTTAATCCTTGGTTGCTGGTCGGCATATGGTTCAAGCAATGGCATGGGGGAGAAACTGGCCTTGCTGATAGGTGAAAGTTTGTAATAAAACATTCCTCTATAGTTCCTGACAAAGCACGTTAGTCATATCCGGCATATAAGCCACCATAGCTCAGCGGTAGAGCGCCGAACACGTTATTCTAAGGTTGCAGGTCGAATCCTGTCAGTGCCAAGTTATTCTTTCATCCACTTTTCTCACATGTACATTACAATTAATTCTGATAACATCTGCTGTACTTCACTTGGTATAATTTTCAGTTAGTTTCATTAATGTTGTAAGCCATAGAGGTTACATACCAGGCAGAAAAACAGTGTTCACTTTCTCGCCGTCATGGCTACTCGTGGCACTGACTGACACTTCCATGTTTAAATGCACATATATAGGCATACATCGTAAAGTGAGTGGAAAGATGATTGCCCTTGTTGGTCAATTGGTAGGGCATGGGATGCATTATTCGAAGATTGAAGATTCGCTCTTTGCTGGCAACAAGTTGTCTTTTTATTCATTATAATTTCTTCACATTTACATTACAATCTAGTAATAACACTCCCTATACTTTTCTCGACTTTGGTATGTAAAAAACAAGTCCTGAAAATGTTTTTTTTTTTCTACACTTATGCCATAGTCATCTGCAACACCACAAGAATGCAACGTGAAGTTTTTTTGTTCTTGTTTTTTTTTTTAATACTTGGTGTGTGTGCAGCATGATGCAATTTTACCCAACTTTACTTCCATTCGGGACACGCTAAGTAAGACTCCAGCCTAGATGATCCCCGTGTTTCAGACGTTATGTGGCCAGTGGAACTGAGAGCTTCTTTTCGTGTTTTTGTAAGTGACGGCACATCTTCGATACACCCTGAAATTTCTAAGGAGCGACCGGGGTTGTCCTTGCTTGCCATTTTTGCAGTAGCAAGGATAACTGGGCTAGTTGGTATCGATTCATTTTAAAACTAGATAAAGCACCCATGGTTTTAGCATTTCTTTCTTGTGTCTGTGTTTGTGTGCGTACCTTCCAGTCTTAAAATTACCATTTTTAGTTGCGCATATAACAAAAACTGACTAATGTTGTCCAAGGTTGGATAAATGATGATAAGCTCTGGCTGCTGTTGGCTAATGATAGGCCATAACGGAACAGCAAGATTATCTTCAGTCAATCCAAGCCCAATGATTTTCTAGGATATACTTCGTGAAAAACTATCTAAGTTGGCCCCAGCTTCGACTGTCTTTTCTTTTTTTGCTTTTTCAACAAAATTAATCTTTCTAAGGATGTGATAACACTCACCAAATCTCCTTAGTTGCATTGAATGCAAAAGCATGGTGCACATCCAGTTGTGACAGTTGTGTTGACAACCCCACTTTCTCAACATCCACTTCACTTGACATCTTACGACACGTTATCTCCGACAACATCACTCTGTGATGTGATGATGACTTTCTCGCGATCGGGTAGTAGTGTCACACACTAGATGTGCACTACAATTTTTTTCTTGATGGGGAATGTAGTGCATTGAACTGAAATTGCTGCTATTTGCAACACTTCTGCCGGTGTCACCTGGTTAGTTAAAACTGCTTTTCTTTTCCAGGACCAATGTTCCACCGCGTAGGGTGCGTCGCTGGAAGAACTCCCTCCAGGAGCTGCTCCGCGACCCTGCGGGCCGAGAGCACTTCATTCAGTTTCTGGAGAAAGAGTTTAGCCTCGAGAATCTCAGGTGAGCCGCATCTCAGAATGCACCTGGCTGTGTCTTGCTGTGGTTACATTGGTAACTATTTTTGACAATACCTTTGGTACTAATTATGGATTTGGTGGCTCTGATCTTATAAGAACTGCTTCTGTTTATTGATTGACTAATTTATTGATCAGCTGTTTAATCTACTGATCAATCGAGGCAGCTTTTTATGGAAACAGCTTTATGTAGCTGCCAGTGACATATACAAACCAATCAATCAAACAAGCTGTGGTTGTTGTATTAATTGATTGAATCAGTTGGTCAGTTCAGAGAGTGTCTATGGAAAAAGAGCCTCCAACCTTCCTGCATAAATCAATGAAACCTTTCTTGCCAGGTTCTGGGAGGCTGTGCAAGAACTGAAGCAAATTCATCTCAAAGATGTTCCCGTCAAAGTACAAGAAATATGGAAGTGAGTTTAAGTTTTGCACACTTGTAGTTGCAATCGTGTGGTTGTTGTCATCACGGTTTTTGATGTTTTTGATAACTTTGTGTCTTGGAATTTGTCCTTGAATTGAAATTATGCAAGCATTTGTGAGTTGTCATCGTTCAGCATGTGGCCAGGGGCATGCAAGGAAGACAATTAAAATAAAACCAAGTGACAATGTTATTGTTATTGTTCAAGCACCACATGCCAGGAGCGAACATCAATCAAACTTCAAGTTAAAATTTCATGGGCAGCTTCACACATTAGTATACACAATAGTTTAGCATAATAATTACTCTTACAAAATAAAGCCCTATTATCAAAATTTTATGAAAATGGAAAAATAGTACACTTGTGCGAATAGTGAATTTTAGATCTGAAATGAATTCGAAGCGAATAGAGATTTTGGTGGAATAATTTCCAATCGAATTGAAATAGTCTACATGAAATATATAGAAAAATCAGCATAGCATGATCTGGCTAACCTGCACAATATTTCTTTAAAATTAAAATAAGGCATCAATGCAAATGCCATTTTTTTCTTTTGTTCAAAGAAAATTGAAACAACTTTCAGTTGTCGCAGGATTTGACTTTCGATAGAATGCAAGTGGTTACCTGTAAAATATGTTACATTTAAAATTTACTACACTTAGAGCATATGAACTGGCGTAACAAGCTTCTAAACTAAAGAAAAATTATGAAATCGATGTAAGGGTAATACGTATGTAAAGGAACCCTGCAACGCTTCTCCAAGTATGCATGGATTGGATTCACTAAAGGAGCGGAGCTTATTGCATCACGGATTGACTGCCACAAAAATTTTTAGAATCTGTCTGGTATAAACTGAATTACAAAGTATTGCCGCAAGCTGCGGTTGCATTTTTCCTTCTCTCATCCCAACGAAAACGCCCAAAGCTAAGCAGGAAGGGATGGCACCGAGGATGGCGCATGCCTCATTATCTTAAGCACGTTTTCACTTTTTTTTTTTTTCATTTGAATGCGTGGATTTTCAGTGCAATTGCCTACGCAACCTGGCCAAGTCATAGCCCCAGTAACAACCAACGCGCCAGGCTGAAATCAGCCAATCGCTGATACAATGACTGTGATGAGTGATTTTTGAGCTTCTAGCGCGATTTTGGCCGCGTTCTGCGCAATTTTCTGCCGCGTTCTGCGCAATATTATTCGGCTCACGTGCTCTCGGGAGGCTCAACCACCGATCGGCAGCGTTTTCCGACCATACGCAGAAAGTGTTTCAGTGTCCCTTAAACTTTGAAGAGAGGCTTCGCGGCAGTGCGCGTGTCTCTTGAATAGATGCTTTCACGACTTAGCACCCCTACACTGCAGTGAAACAACTTTTACAGAAGATTACATGCGGATTATTTTTGTTTATTTATTTACAAATACTGCAGGCCCTACTCGGGCCCAAGCAGGAGTGGGAATATCATTAAAAACAATACCAACAATAAAGCTTACAACTTTCGACAAGTTAAGTAGTAAACCACAATTAACAATTCGTTCATTGTGAATACTTCAAAATTTTCAATAATTTAAATTCTAGTCGAAGCGAATTCAGATATGCTACTATTTGTTCGAATATTCGAAGCATTTTAATATTCGCACAAGCCTACAAAATAGTGTTTCAAATAGAATATGGATTTTCACGCTCCGATGGCTCAATAAAGGTTTCTTGCCTATGATCCAGCCCATGTAGTAGGCCTGTATGATTGAACTCAGCCAAGTATGGTATGGTATGGAAAAACTTTATTTTGCTTTGTCGGGGCTTGAACTAGCACGTAGTGGGCTGCTTCCACGTCGAGACAGATAGGCCTAACCTGCCACATCATGGGCCAGCGGACTGCCCATAGCTGCGTCCTTATACCCGTACTGCATAGCATGGCATCCCACTTTGACGATGTAACTCAGTCAAGTGCGTACGCTTAATTCTACAACACAATAACATCACCACTACAACACCACAACAGACGCAAACTTCTTTCGTCATTTGTGGCTTTGCTGAACTATGGTTCAAAAGCCAGAAGCACCAAAGGCATCAGTACATCAGTTTCGTAGGTAGTTGTCATTGGTGCGAAGTTCGGTCTTCATTGTTATTACGCCGGTGAGGCTCACGGACAGTGCAGATAAACCGTGACACACACTTTATTGTTTTTGCAGTGAGTACCTGGCCCCTGATGCCAATTGTCCCATCAACATCGACTCGAGAAGCTACGAGATCACCAAGGTCAACATGCAGAATCCCGACCGGTGGACGTTCGACGAAGCTGCCGTGAGTGATTTGGCCTTGTTTCAGACGCCGGTTCCTTCAATGCACACACTGTGCTGATCGGCTCATTTGCCAAAATTTTGTCTCGGGTGTCCAGCTAGAATCAATTCAGCAAGCACCATCTTACCATGACACCATAAGATATTTCATTAAGGTCGTCTCAGACAAAAGGAAGACAATTCCTTGAAAACTTATTTTTTTCATTACGCACTTAAGTTGTAGTCATATGTTATGAAAGCAGTGAAGAAAATGTATAAGAAATTATATATTGGGTGGTGAAATGTTAATATTGTCGCAGTGCGCTGTAAGGTTGCTCTCATTTCGTCTTGGGAATGATTTGTTGGGAAACTAGCTTATGCCTACATCTACACAATCACAACAGGTGAAGTGATTAATTACCACGTTCACTGCGGCATGGGTCACCAGTGAGTTACGGGCTGTGCTCCTCCTATGCGGCTGCTATGTTACAACTACGCGTCTGCTTTTTGATGCGATAACTTCAGCAAACATGAACGCAGAGGTTCAATTCTTATTGCAAGAGGTTATAAACAATCAGAAGAAATTTTTTTCGGTGTTAAATGCCATGACCCACCAGTGACCCACCGGTGGGTCACGGCACACCTTGAAAGTATGCTGAGTGGCTCACTGGTAGGTCACTCCACAAACAGAACGAGACCTCAAAGAAGCTTGCTGCAGTGAACGGGTTAAGGCTGTGACACTATGTACAGGGCCACCAGCCATGGGCATGATTATGTTTGTGTCACTGGCATGAAGTTCACGCTGTAAACTAGCAACTGGTCATCTGGCCCCGCTGCGATGGTCTAGTAGCGTAGGCACTCGGCTGCTGACACGCAGGTCGTGGGATCGAATCTCGGCTGGGGCGACTGCATTTTCGATGGAGGCGTAAATGCTGTAGTCCCGTGCGCTCAGATTTGGGTGCACATTAAAGAACCCTAGGTGGTTGAAATTTCTAGAGTCCTCCACTATGGCAACTCTCATAATCATATGTTGGTTTTGGCACGTTAAACCCCACAAATTATATTATAACATGTTCATCTGGACAATAAGCACAATCATGAGAAATTATGCAAGACGGAAGAAGAGATGGGAAGCTGGAAGCAATGTCAGTTGGTTGAATAAAGAAGGCTGTCAGATGACAAGCTTCGACAAGGTAGCCTGTCTTTCCAGGACAAAGCCAAGTCATGTGCTTGAAGCATCATTTCAGATGAGAAGTGGTCAAACAAGCCTTATTCCACCACTTCTCTTCTATGCTGATCTGTGTATTACTAGTGCATTGCAGCAGTATGCAAGTACTACGGTTGAACCCCTTTATAAGAGATGCTGACATAGACAAATGGGTATAAAAGACCAGCGAGCTTGCATTTAAAGAGGGGTTGATAAGAAAATGAGGGTGTGGTACCCTGCTTATAAGAGACCCTTTTTATAATTCTAGTCTTTTGATAAAAGACTATAATTATTGCCCAGTGCATGTCTTTTATAAATTTGCTCAACTGTAACTAAAGTCATTGAACAACATTGACAAACCTTACCTGCAAGCTTCTAGTATCCTCCTCTGAAGAAAATCTCTTTTACACGCCTGATGAGTGTGCTTCCAGCTTTAGAATAGAGTAATCAGTATGTCCTTGTTCACTAACGTAATTTTCCACGTACCTTTTCGGCCCCCTAGATTTAAGTGCTCACACATGTCACAAGTAGGGTAAAGGTAGAAACCTTGCTCTGTGACAGAAGCGTAAGCTATTTGTGAGACCCTTACGTTATCCACTTTTTTGTTGCAACTGTTCATTGACAAAGATTGAGGTCCTCACTGGAACAAATGACGTGTGGAAACTGGTTGTACAGTAAAAGCTCGTTAATTTGACACCCGTTAATTAGGAAATTTGGATAATTCAGACGGCTCTATTGGTCCCGGCCAAAGTGCATGTTAATCTATGGGACCAAACCTTCGTTATTTCATCAGAATTTGGCTCCGCACCGCTTAATTCGGACAAATGCTGACGGCTGCTGCTACACAAAAGTGTGATAAAGCAGCGCTGGCACCACTGGAGTGAAACCGAAACCTGAGTGGCATCGCCATCATCATCAACTAGTGGGGGCAATCGCAGCGTCGCCGCACGTCGGCGTCTTCTTTCTTCTCCACTGAGCGCCTCCGACGCCATTTTCCTTTGTGTTGCCGTGTCAGAACCATCTCTTCTTGCGGAGTTCTCTTTTTCTTCCATTGCGACCGTATTTGCATGCCACCACCATCGTGCACTACAGTAATGGCAACGCCGAAAAAGCGGCAGAACTACGACGCGAAAAACTTGGCGACTAAAGTGGAAACTTTGGAAGCACTGAAAAACGGCGAATCGCGACAGCAGGTTATGACCAAGTACAACGTGAAGCGGAGCACGTTGGGAACGTATGTGAAAAATGAACTACAGATTCGACAAGCCTTCGAAAGCGAGAAGTTTCATGCCTCTAGAAAGCGGTTGCGAACCGCAGCTCATCTCCAGCTTGAAGAAGCTTTGCTCTGGTGGATTACTGACTGTCGCAACGCGCATCTGCCTTTGAGCGGACCTCTCATCATGGCGCAAGGCGAGAAGTACGCTGCAATGATGAACATTGAATTGTTCAAAGCATCAGAAGGGTGGTTTACGAGGTTTCGAGAGAGACGCGAACTTGTCTTCAGGAGTGTGTGTGGCGGAAAGGCCAGTGTTGACGAAAGCGTGACCACTGAGTGGAGAAATGTGAAGCTGCTGGAGCACATCGCCACATATGAACCACGTGACGTGTTCAATGCAGATGAAACTGCTCTATTTTTCAGAGCTCTGCCTGACAAGACGGTGACTTTCAAAGGGGACGCGTGCATTGGTGGCAAGAAGTGCAAGCAAAGGATAACTGTGCTTCTTGCCGCCAATATGACTGGTACGGAGCGCTTGCCACTACTTGTCGTCAAGAAGGCGCTTAAGCCACGTTGTTTTAAGAACGTCAAAAGCTTTCCTGTCGAGTACACAGTGAACAGGAAGGCATGGATGACATCGGACATTTTTCGCGGCTGGCTGCAGCAGTTAGACCGGCACTTCAGTTCGAAGGACCGCAAGATAATTACGGTTGTTGACAACTGCAGTGCCCATAACTGTACAGTCGAACTGAAGAGCATCAAAGTAGTTTTTTTGCCGCCCAACACTACGTCTGCTCTTCAGCCGATGGACCAGGGTATCATTCACTACGTGAAGTCGAAGTACCGCAAGCACCTGCTAGAGCGAATGATCCTATGCTCAGAAGCTGAAAAGTTGTATCAAGTGGACTTACTCGGCGCAGTGCACATCATCGCCCACGTGTGGAAAAACACTCCGCCACAAGTCATCGCCAACTGTTTTCGGCACAGCGATTTTGTGAGGCCCGAGCATGCAGCAGTAGCTGACGATGGCATCGAGGAGGTGTCAGCCGAGTCCACCGACGATGACTGCCAGATTTTAGATGCTGTCCTTCACACAGATGTGACCTTTCAGGACTACATCGCGATTGATCATGGTGTCGCCACGAGTGGTCTCCTGACCGATCAAGAGATTATTAATGATGTCACGGGCGCCCATGAAGACCACGATTCCGACGAAGAATCATGTGAGGAGATACAGCCGCGACCTCATTGCACCTCACGGGAAGTCTCGGAGGCGCTGTTAATATTATAGGACGCTTGCCTGAACCCGCCCGACAGCTTGCGTGCTGTTGGCCATTTGGAACAGTTAAGAAAAATTGTGATGTCAGCCGGAATCTGCGCGAAAACGTAGACGACAATTACAAAATACTTCAACAAATAAAGGTATGCTTCTGCAGCTTGATTTTAAATGTTGTTTTCCCTGTTCATTGGTTAATTTGGCATTCGGTTAATTTGGACAGTTTTTCCGGTCCCGTGAAATCCGAATTAACGAGCTTTTACTGTAGTAGTCTCTGTCACGTGATGTCCTGCCATTTCGACAGCTGCACTTCTGTGGTTAACCTTTGTCGCTCTTGTTCTTTCTGCTCTCTGACGTCATTTCTCCTGGCGGCCAACGTTGCATCCAGTGGCACGTCTACTTCGTGATGAGGAATGACAGCTATAGGCGGTACACCAATTCTGCCATGTACATGGATTACGCTAACGGCACTAAGAAGAAGGTAAGCGAGGCCATGCCGACGCAGAAACATCGCATTCTTCTCGCGAGAGCTCTCATGAGCGTTAACTGTCATTAGCCTGCTGTCGGGTACACACAAACATGATCGCCTCAAGTTAACTGCTAAAGTCCCTAAAACATGATTGTAATTTTATCTAATGCAAATTGCTAAAACCATCCAGTAGTATCTAATTGCAGCACTGTAATGACATTACTTCAATCTTTTCTTGTGCAGTTATGATAACCACTCTCTTTTTCCTATATTTTTGGAAGTCTGTGCGTAAATAACAATAGTGCAGTTGCTTAGTGTTCTAGTTGCTGATTGTGCATTTTAATTGTTTCTCAATACGTTAAAGGCTAAGTTCTGTTTCGCACCTGCGTGCGTACACTTTGTTGTGTGGATTACACTAGCACTTGCATTGAAAACACCGTGGTGTGTTGTGAGTTGTGGTGACTGTGCTTCACTCTATCTGCACCCCTTCAGTTTTTGTGTGCAAGTACTCTCTACTTGAGCTCTTGTACATATAGATCTTTCACATAGGTACAGAACCGCCCTTAGTGCTTTAAGTGCAGCTCTTGGGTAGTTCATATAGGGGCATTGCAGATGGAACATCGCTGCAGTCTTTATTACACCCCATCTTGATGCATAGTTATTCTTTGTGGCAAGACCAATGCTTCACATGTAAATTAACATTATTCAAGCCTAACATATGTCTAGTGCAATTATCTTCAGAACAAGTCTTGCATTTAGCTTGTCAGTATAAACACAATACATTCTGTGCTATGCTGGGCCACCGGAGACATTAGCTTGAGTAGCCGGGCTAGCACAGCCATCTTGTGGTGCATGCTTCAATCAGAGAGGTTGTAGAGATATTGTATAGCGGGAATCTTCCATACTCTGTTCAACTTCATTTGTAATTTGATTAGCAGAATCACAATTAATAATATTTAGTCCTTCACTTTTATTTCATGAGAGTACCGACATTATGCAAGACCCATTCAATCTTTTGTGTAATCTAGCAAAGGGTCCAGGTTGTCCTCACCAATGCCGATGTCCACTCTTCTGTTCATGTTGAGTTGTAGAGTATTCATGAATTAACTATAACCTCAGTTTAAGAACATTGTATAGTTCTGATATTGTCTCTGCATTCCCTCTGGCATTTTGACTGAATGCTTCTTGACCTGGGACGTGTACTGCGTGTCTATCATCAGTTTAAATGCGTAGGCGGTTTTTAAAGCATCAGCCAAGTTTTTGTTGGTAGCTCTTACGCATTCCAATCATTAGTTCTGCATATCACAATCACTTAATGGTCCATAAAGGCCCTCACCTAATGTCTGAATATTGCTAGCACCCTTAATTGCCAGCACGATGCCAATAGTTTAGACCAGCAATGAAGTAGATTACTTTTAGTTACAGCTGTAATACTTCTGGGTTTGCCTGGTTAATTTCTGCACCACCAGATGGTGCCACCAATGTTGCTACTCTTGTTAAAGCCTCCGGTAACCCGATAATCCGCAAACTTGTGCAAGTTTGTGGACAAACTAAAACTCTCCGATAACCTAGTATTGTGGGTGATGTTGCTCGTCAGGGCTGTCTCGTGCGTTAAGACTGTGTTACTGTTTTCAGGAGTCAGCCTGCATCAGCCTGCCTAATGCAAAAGCCTGCCTTCGTAGAACAGATTTGCTGTGTGTGTTAGTTCCCGTGAACCTTTCTTTTTTTTGCCCCTTCTCATAGATTTTGTGTATGAAGCGCTCGTAGCACCCGCACTCAATGTGGCAGTAGATGTTAGATTGATAGATCGCTATGACAACTCCGTGTATGGACAAACCCATTTCGTTTTCTTTCCTGTCCTGATGCGGTGCCTTCCGTGCTTCTGTGCTTACATGTGAATGTCGTCCGAGTGGTCTTACTTCCCACATTTTGTCATGCTACTTTAGTAGCTTCCTTTTTTTTAATTAAGCTTTTTTTCAAGACTACAAGTTATCAACTTTGACCCTTTCACCAGAATGAGCTAGCAAACTTCGTAAAGCTCAGTGGATATCGAAGTCACCAAGCTGTTTGAATAGCAGTATATCTTTCTAATGACTTTTTTGCCTAAACTGATGGCTGTAGAGATGGATGATGATGGATGTAGAGAAACTGATGGCTGATGGCTGTAGAGACAGTAGGCAGTTGAATGCTCTCCCCATTGGCTACCGTAGTGATCTACCCGATAAACAATTGTATCGGGCCAGTTGGGTATGAATCCATCTTGGTAGGAAGCGCAGCAACTATTACACAGAACACACAACACAAGCACTTGTAATGTGTGTTCTGTGTAATAGTTGCTGCACTTCCTACCAAGATGGATCTACCCGGGTCAGGCTGCAGACATTTGCATTCCGTGATTCGTTATGAACAGTAATTTTGTTTCTGCAACACTATGAACTTTCCTGCTTCAGTAGTTCCCAGAGCACTAGTTTAGAACATAGTCTCCTGCTAGCGGTGTTCTTGTTTTAAGCAGGACTTCTCCATTGTGCATCCCTCTTAGCCTGCTGCCCCAAGATGCTAAGGTGCTAGCTGAAGGGTTTAGAGTAGGTGCATAGCAGATTAGTAATTGCCATATTGCAGACTGCCGCATAAAAGCAGATGCCTCATATTTGCAGACTACGTATAACAGACTATGTGAAGCAATGTGCATCAGACGACGCACATTGGCGTGAAAGAAACGCGGGGGAAAACCTGTCCTGAAGTGTGGTGAGAGGGGTGCAGGGCAGAGCTGCCCCCGTATTCTTTCTCACCTTCTCCCACATCCTTTCAACCCGACCTCAACGGTGTAGTGTTCAGCTTGCAGCCACCGCTAAACTGTGCCCTCCTCGCAGACCTCCGTGAAGGGGCTCCGCTCTGTGATATCGTTCACGGCCAAGAAGGACCCGGGTCCATCCTCCTCCTAGCTTGCCCGCCGCCATGGCTGCCTTGCGCATGCGTGCGTGCCTCTCTCTCTCTCTCATTTATCTGTTTCTCTCTATTCTTCATTTTTTAGCGGCATAGGTCTTAGTCTCTGAGAAAGTACACCTCTGATGCAAGATTTGCCACAGTCATATCAAAAAGTCTTTCCCAGCTGACTTGTAGTTGTCTCTGTAGGTCAGATCTGATTTTCATCTGGAATTATGCGTGAAATGCCTGTCAGAGGGTACAGTAGCACTCCTTTTTTGCATTTGGTTTCTACTTTACTTCTGGTCTTTCAGTGGCATCTAGTTTTTACATATATATGCCTTTATCAGGGAAAATACATCTGTATACACCTAACGCTCAAGGTTTCTTCAAGTTCACTTCACTTGTTCAGCCACTCCCAGAAACTAGGCAATCAGATTAGAGTTTTTAAACTTTTTTTCACATCCAAGTTTTATGTTTATTTTGCAAACTATAGCGTGCCTCTTATGTGTACGAACCCAACATAATGTCTGTCAAGCATATATAATATTGTTCCAATTTTCAGGTTAAAAAAAAAAGTGATTTTTTCTTAAATTTTCATTGTTGGCTTTTTACCTATATTCTGATATTATGCACTCTAGTGCAAGGTTTTAAGAACAGCAGATAAAGGTACAACCATATTGGGCATTAATGTCACTGTTAGCTTTTCAAACATCAAATACACCTTTAAGCAAGCCAGTCCTGATGTTACTGGGGTGAACTCTGGACGCTGTGTTTGAGTTCTAACTTTGTGAAACATGGCATAGTTAGGAGGAGCACTTTAGAGGCTGAAATTCCTGTGCTCTGATGCTGAACATTAAGCAAGTGACTTTGAAACAAGACGAAATGAAAGAACGTGTGCAATGTGAAGAGTGCATAAGTGCATCTTGTATTGTGGATAGTTAGTCTTCACGGTATTCTGTAGTGGAGCTGACTATAGCTGATGTAGCTGTTGGAGTGACACAAGCGTGACATGGGTATGATCCAGGTGTGACACAGGTATGATAAGGGTGTGACACAAATGCGACAGGTTTGACTCAGATATGACACAAGCAGACGTCGGTATGATATTGTTTTGACACCAGTGTGGCATGGGTGTGGTAACAGTATGACACAAGCGCGACAAGGATATGACATGGGCTTGACAAAGATATAACATTGGTAGACGTGGGTATGACACTAGTATGACACACGCAGTTCATATATGATTTTTTTTTCTAAAGAAAGAGTTGTGTCGGTGCTATTTCTTTGCTGTATTGTCCTTCTTTTTTCAGTGGCTGCTTTACATTTGTGACAATCGCTGAGTGCGTGTTTTTTTGCATGAGCTCTGTGGCGCTGCTGGATCTTTTGAAGGGCTGTTGTGCAAAGGCTGCTGTCTCAACCAGGGCTTTGTCTGTTGAATATGGCAACCAAATGGTCGTACTGACAGTCTTGTGGACGGCACCACTAAACTTGCCTCGACTTATAATCAGGCCTACTGTAATTATAATTTCTGGTCGTATACGTATCTTCCATGTACATGCGAGTACCCTGTAGGGAAACTGAAATTTATATAAAAATTTTATATATTTCATTCTGTTTTCTATATACAAGCTTCGAAATTTAAGGTGAAGACTTTAATGCAATTACTGAAACTACAATTGCTAACAATATGGTGTCTCTTTTCTGTGAGCCTTTGTGCAAGAAAAGTGAATTTCCGACTCTCCGCCTGGCATCAATGCTCTAAGTAAAGAACGCACTTGCTGAGAAGTTCTTCTTGCACTTTGCGAATTTCATCTCTCAAGTGCAGTTTTGCATCTACTGAGACCATACTCTGTATATTCAGTTCATTTCTCCTGCACTCTTCTTGGCTTTGCTTGTTTAGCTTCATATAGTTTGGGAAAATATTGTAGTTGCCTAATGAGAGATGGGGCGAACTTATCAGTAAACGAGAAAACACTAAAGCTTTGACAGAGGTAGGAAACGCGTCGAGCTTCAACATGGAAACGTGAAATGAGTGACATTACTTCGGAGTTTGCCAGTTGCTTAATTTTGATCTTCGAGACTAGCAAAATTGGCAATGGCATACCGAACCCTGTCCGTGTGACCATTACGTTGGCCTAAATGTAATGCGTTGTCTCGCTTTTGTGACTTCAGCATGGGCATGTTGCTCAGCGCCTGCTTGCATGTCGGCTGTCTCATCGAAACACTGTCTCATTTTACACTAGAACACCTCACATTTGACCATTTGCTGAGCATAATGCCATGCTCAGCCTTTCTTAACATCACATGTTCCCTCCCTCGGTGTTCTACTGTAAAGCCAAAGCGACTGCATGCCAGCTTAAATTGTGCCTTTGTGTCACAGTGGTGCAATCTCACCAATGCAGTTATGTGCTTTAGATTTGTGTCTGTTCATTAGTTTGTGCAATAGTTGTAACTATCGTATTGACCGATACCTCCGCATACTTTCATCTTTGCGAGTCTTGTTGCATCATTTTAAAGGCTGTGCCCATATCAAAGTGTCGCATATATACTTCACATCAAATGCTATCACAACCTTCACAAATCTTCCTACGCACTTATGCTTAGTTGAAATTCTTTACTGTATATGTAGCTAAAGCACGTTTTAACGTAATCCCTAAATTGAAATCCTGTGAACGGAATGTCTTTGTTGATCTGTGATATCACAAGTTCGGTAATTTAACCTTGAAAGAATAAATGTAAATGTAGATTAGGTGGATTTAAGCCTGCTGACTGTACATCAAGAAGTATTTGTTGCCCAAGAAACAAAAAAAGACTGGAGGCTACAAACGGGCACTAACATGAGCGCTTGCATGCCAAGGACATATGAGCACTCGTATGTTGTATCATGTCTTCCTTTACGTTCGAGTTTTTTGCTCTACGAATTGTTGCTGACCTGAACGGAGTGCCACACAAGCGACATAAAAGACGTGCGTAACACTGCATACATTCTTTGCATTCGTTTCCAGATTTTTTTTCCCCTTTTTTAAAAGAACTTTTGTTTCCTTGTCTCGAGTTGGCTCACTAACAAAATTTGAGTGTGTTGGCAAGACATTAGAAATAATCTTTCAGCACACAGCGAGACAAGGATGGAGGTGAAGAAGACTGAAGACATACAAGCTCTAAGCACGTCCGCAGATTAGTTTTTATGTTTGTCTGTTGTCTTCTTAATCATCCACATTCGATAGTGCACCTAAAGGTCGCTCGCATCGAGTTGGCATTTTGGGATATGTCCCGACTTTGGAAAAACCACTGTTTCTCAACGATAGCATGAGCAATTAATTTTCCTTCCGATGATTTTGACTATACTGTTCGCGTTTAGCATGGAGGTTGTCCCGGTTGTCCAGACTCCTGTAATATTTCAAGTTGTCCATTTATACCTACATGGTCATGCTTACTTAGTGCTTCACCCAATGGTTATGTTTGGAAAGTATGACATTGTAACGTGTGTAATCGTGGCGTTGGGAACGGCAAAACTTTAAATGGAAGCTCAGTTTTGAATTGGAAAAGCAGCAGAATAATTCTGCTGAATATATACTCTAGCTGGTTGCAAACGGATTACATACAGCGGAATTTCGTTAATCCTTTGCAGTTCAAAACCTTTGCCTACCTTCTTTCTATTCTGGTCTGAAACTAAGGAAAGCAAAGGTCAAGAAAAAAAAAGGAAGAAGTTTACACTAGCCATGTAAAGCTTAATAAGATGCAGCGAAGCTGGTTAATTTTGGCGTTCTTATCGTGGCCTTTTCGGCTGATGCTTGGTCTCTCCTTTGTTAGGAAAGATTAGAGTCGAACCAGAGCCTGTCTCAGGCCATGCAAGAATGTCCTAACTTTGGCCCTAGAAACTAACTTTTAGGTGCCACTATCCTGGGGGTGCCACAGCCAGGTTTGGCTGTGGCACCCTCATAAAAGCATAAAAAAAGGTATCTGTATTTTGCTTTTTTTTTTTTAATAAGCGGCATAGCTGTTAAGCTTTTGGTACTGCCAGGTGGTGCATACAGAAAGGAGAAATCTATATAAACTCTTCGCTTCCACAAGTGCCAGGTGGAGTGCATGGTGCACAGTCTCTTTGTCCTCTTGTTCATCTACTGCTTTGCTCCCGGAACATGTGTGACGATTTTACATGAGACGCAATAACTCTGTTGGGAAAAAAAACAAGCACACAAAGAGGTGAAGAAAGAGACAGAAACATAGAGAAAAAAAGAAATGGGAGGAAAGAAAGGCAATGAAGTGAGAAAAACATATAAAGTAAAGAGAGATAAACATAGAAGGCTCTATAATGAGTACAGAAAAAAAAACAAAGAGACAACACAGGAAAACAAACGGAAAAAAAGAAAGCGAAAAACTGGCACACACTCAAAGAAATGTACCTCCCAGTATCGCACGACACTAGCCACATGGCACGATTTTCAGCAGGAACATGTCACGTGACTAATGTTATGGGATGTTACAGCACGTGACCTAAAATCACGTAACAAGTCACGTGGCTTCAAATAAATCATGCAACATTTGCCATATGAGATGCTTCAGCCAAATTCACCAACACTATTCATGTAATTCAAAGTTACATGGACAGTAGTCATGTGGCGTGTTCCCTGCAAAGAAATCACGTGACATGTTCCTGCTAAAGTAGTCTAGCACTAATCACTTAAACTTTTATAAAGATCTAACCGATAGAAAATTGATTAACTGTTATTTAAGTGCACGAACAAACACAAATGAACAGGGGACAGAGTGTTCCTTCATGTGCTTAAACGACAGTTATACCATGCATATTCAACTAGCCCAACTTTCGATTCTGTTGCAAGATTGATTAATTAACCCAAGCAGACAAGGAACTCTGTCAATAAGTGCAGTTTTAAGCACTAGTCACATGGCACAAAATCTCATATTACCGTATTTACTCGTATAATCCTCGCACTTTTTTTGCCGCAAAACTGATGCAAAGTTGGGAAGTGCGAGAATCACGCGGGGAAAACTTTCCACGAAAATGTACCGAGCGAAAAAGAAAACGAA